AGTTGTCTCTTGGATCATAGGAAACCGTAAATATCCCTGTCTGGATGGAGAGACCAGCCCTCAGAGGAGATTTATTGTGAAAACCTCTGTGTTGGCTTCCCTGCCACCAGATTGTGTGTTGTGGTGGCAGGGGAAGAAGCAGTTGTGAATCCATTCCCTGCTCCACCACTAGTAATATTCTAATGGCAGGAAATGACAAAAACTCTCTCAAGTTCGTGTAATGTATTTCTTTCCCACTGATCACAATGGGAGAAAAGGAAGAAGGAGAAGGCATGAGGGGAAGCGAGGAGAAGGCTTGATAGGGTATAGGATGGTTTGGAAGCTCCAATACCGGAATTCACCATCCCAGAAACAAGGGTTGCTTTCTTATCAATTAATGCCTTATAGATTTTACAGGCATGGAAGCAATATTCCATAATTAATGAATTTCATAATTGAAAAAAAGATTTTAATCACAAATAAATTCAGAGTTGGGTGGGTTTTTTTTTTTTTTTTTTTGCATACCCTTTCCTTAGCATTGATGTATTATATTGTATGTGTAAGAAAACAGGATCACTTTTTTTGGAATCTGGAAACAATTATTATGTAAGCTGCAGTTTGGTTTAGAAAACACCATGAAAATAAAATTATAAAAATCTCCCATGAGTCTCGGGACAAATATAAAGACCCCTCCCTCATTTGATAATAGAAATTTTTCCCAGACTAGCATTAACGTATTTGTTGTATACTCTAAAGTGTAGAACATCAGCCAGGCTTGAAGATCTATTATCAAAGAGCTTCTGAGAAATACAACAGTTAAATAAGATCTATATCATCAGCGGTCCAGATATTGTTCTTTTAATTTTCAATAAAGAACTGTTAAGATATATAACTGGGCTAAACAATCCATAAAAGTACATACCGTGTTTCCCCGAAAATAAGACAGGGTCTTATATTAATTTTTGTTCCGCCCCCCCAAAAAAAGCATTAGGGCTTACCAGTATTTTCAGGAGATGTATTATTTTTTTTCATGTAAAACAATCTACATTTGTTCAATATAGTCATGTCATTTTCTGGTTGCTGCACAATGGTGGAGGGCAGGGTTTCAGTTAACTGGGGTTTATTTTTAGGTAGGGCTTACATTACGAGCATCCTGAAAAATCATCCTAAATCATCAGGTTAGGTCTTTTTTTCGAGGAAACAGGGTATTAACAGAAGTGAAATATATAGTGGTCTCATTTGGAACCTGGCTTGGAGATACAACCAGTAGAAAACTCCTAAACAAGAGACTACAATGATATAATACACTTCTCAAGCACTAGGATGGAACATCTTACCCCCAGAGTCACATTGTGCAGCAGACTCCTCTATCTGTATAACTAGATGTACCTGTATACAGTACATTCTATGACATCAACACCTTAAGAGTTGTACATGATGTCCCCAACTTTCAGCCAATGGCCACGTTTATGCTGTTGTTGTTTTTTCTTTTAAACAGATAAAAACTGTGCAGGACTAAAACTGTACTGACAAATCTATTGCATTTAACCACTGGGATATTTTTACCCATCCAATGTAACATATTGGTTAGCCAGAATCCTATTGGTCAGTTATACTGGTGGTAAGTGCAGTGGCATAAATGGCACTGAGGCATTTCCATGATCACCTACATTTCCACTAGTGAACAAGCAGCCACTTATATCCCTTATTGTTCCAGTCATGCACAGTAAAGGACACAGGCAGCAACCCAGTACTTCGCAGAAATTCACCACTGTGATGAACAATAATTGCATTTACATCACTACTGCTATAATTTATGAATAGGGTTCTGATCATTGAGACAAAAAAAAATAATCAAAATTGGTCAGCTGAGAATCTTAAATAACATGCTCTCATTGTTGAAATATAATTATTTGTTTTGAGTGTATTTATCTTGTCCGAAAGAGAGACTTAGGTTCCTTGTGCAATCCTTTCTGTATACTTTAAGATATTCAATACTGTGGAAATTTATGTGGGGTTTCATGCTGCCTCAAATCTCTTCGAAGAGGATGCTACTTGCATTCAGTGAGGGTGGATTTGGCTTTCCTGATCTCACTTTATATCCTCAAACCTATTTGCTAGTTTATACTAATTACTGTGTCTCACAGTTAACTATCCACCCTGAGCCCTGTTGGAATCTTCCTGTCTGGCACTGTGACACCCGTTCCCCGGGGCGTGAGGTGATGTTAGGAGTGCCGTCTCGCCCTAGAGCCTCCGTGGGCACCCAGACCGCACCCAAGCCGTTTCCACCCCGGATGCTACACCAGGCAGTGGATACCGTTGATTTAGAACGGGGCTTGAAGGGGTTAAGCATAGCTACCGAGACTCCTTTGGTTTGGGCGGGAAGAGGGGCGAGAGATCCTGAGGAGGGGGCTGTGGGAGAAGTCAGTCACCGACAAGCAGGAGAAGGAGGCGGATGGGAATGGGTCTCGATCCAGGACCCCTGGTCAGGCAAGTGGGAACAGGTGTGCATGACTAAACAAGAAGCAGAGGAGAGAAGGAGGAATGAGGCCCGGGTCCGTCCCTCTTACTGGGGAGAAAGAGAGACCCGTGAGTGGCGACGCAAGTTAGCGGAGGAGAAGAAACGGGTAGAGAGGGAAAGAGAGGAGAAGACCCGATGGCATCTGGAGGAGCTGAGGAGGCTGGGGTATCGTCCGGACCCTGGGAACACCTCGGGTCAGCAACAACCTTACCCTGGGGATATACAGGACTCGAAGAGACGACCCCATTACTAACAATGGAGAGAGAAGACTTCGAACCCGAAGAACCCTCCCAGGTTCAGGCCGGTCCATGGGCATCGAAGTCCAGTAACCCTTTTGACGAAGATTGGGTGCCCCTGTATGAACCGTTACTTCAACAGGAGAAGTTTATCCCCAACCTGATTGACGTTTCTATTCCTTTACCCCAGTTAAATAAAGAAGACAAATTGTTTTGTTCAAATACGTCTACGGCTTTATTTGGGATGGGGGAGGCGAAGAATAGCGGACCCTCACAGGCACCACTCTTTAAGTGGATGGCTTTGGAATCTGTACATGTTAAAACATACTGTATGCCCCCGACAATCCCAGTAGTAAGACCAATTAATTGGATATGGTGATGGTGTTTTTGCCATTTGCTAACTAGAGATAGTTATGAATTGCCAGCCTCAGCTGAATTACAACTGCAGCATCTGATCTAAATTTGATCCAGAAGCACCAAGTGCCTCAAAATCTCCTGTATTCTTGGAATTGCTTATTGATAGTTCAGGAAAAGACACCTACATTATTTGTCTATAAATGTTTGTTGTCAGTTAATAAATATGAAGCAAAAGGCCTTGGGGATTAATAGATTAGGGAAATAGATTGTTGTTACCTAATGAATGGAAGATAGCCAGTATACTTGATGTATCTATGGCTCTCATGACTTCTCCAGAAAAAAGTCATATTTAGAATATATTGGAATCACAATACCATTTTAGGAAAGGCCTTAGCGAGTCATATAAGTACCGTCACTCCAATTTTCCTGATGCATCTCTCAAACATATGTTATGGTCATGTCCAGTAATGAGATCATTTTGGGGGAAAATTTATCACCTGTACTAATTCTATAGTGGACCACCCTTTGATCTTCATTGATGATTAGTTGCCTGCTTCTTGGAGATGAAGCAATAGTCAGCATAAATGGATGCATGGTATATAGATGATGGATATCTTTTTAGACATTTGGAAACCTTTTATAGGTTATACATAGATTTTTTTTCTTTTGAAAATATGCTTCTAGTTTTATTGTATCTCCTTCTCAGCTGGTGTGTGTGTGTGTGTGTGTGTGTGTGTGTGTGTGTGTGTGTGTGTGTGTGCCCGCGCGCTCGCTTTGACCCCATTCAGGGTGAGCCTAGAATTTTTAGTGGGTTCAGAAAATACAAGGTACAGTACATACAGTATACCCTAAACTTAACTATCATCCTAACCGTAACCTATAATACTTTGTAATTTCGTAAAGTCAGGAAATACTCCACAACACAGTGCATGGTTTTAATTTTTTTCCATCCTCAATGAAGATTAAATCTTCCAAGTCGCAGAAATTCCATTCAGATGCCAGGGCTTGATCCAAGAGTAATGAGATTTGTACTGTAGTTTCGTGAATTCAATGCTTTGTACTTGAGAAATGTGCATCTTCTCCAAATCCTCACTGATGAAAGGACAAATACCCAAGTCATAAAAAACTTGAAAAACACCTGGTTTATATATTTTCAAACAGGAACAGTGCTATGTATGAAATAACTTAATTCCTTTGGAAATGGAGAGTACCACCATTTAAGAAAATAAACGGTATGGGGCTTCTATGTAACCTTTGAATGTAATTTTTGCTACCAACTCCTTTCTTTTTTGGTTTTGATTGAGAAACTGTTCCATGAAATGCAAAAACTATGCACCACTTTGGACTGTTAATTGATACTAATAAAGTCATTCTTACACATCGCATGTATGTTTTCCTAAACCATTGACCACTGGCCAGCTGTTTGTGTGTATGTGTGTGCATGTGCACACCCAACATGTTTTTTTTTTAATTTATAAAACAGTACTTTTCCTCTAGACAAGTCGTTTCGGGTTCAGGTTTTAGGATAGAATTTAGTCAAATTCCTACACTGCCAGCAGAGTTATTCAATGGGTAACCTGCGATGTAATTGTGTATCAGGAATTTGTTGTAGAATTCGTCAGCCTTCAAGCTACATTTGTATGTGTTTTTATGGGAAAGTACGTAGGTTTATTTCAGATATCACAGAATCATGCACGAAGCAGAAGAAACGCTGCATCTGTTTTAATTCATATTCCAAGGGTAGGTAGATGAACAAACAAGCCATAAAACGATCAGCACATAAAGACACAGGCTAAAGATCACATCAAATTAATCCCATTGAACTAGGGGTTAGTCCCAAATCGAAGACTATAATTTTAATTGTGACTGTTATCAAGGAACAATTTCGAGCGATTCGGTTCACCGGAGGTCAAAGGAAGAACTCGGCTCCCTGAGAGATGCTGGCTCTCTTGCGCTTTCCTACCCATAGGAAAAATGCTCCCCCATTTCGCCGTTTTAAGAAGAAAAAAAAAGGAAGTTGTCAACTCCATGCGGACAAAACGCGAGCTTCTGCAGCGCGGCCCTTAAAGGCCCGTGCTACAGTTTCCGACAGGGCCCTTTTGGCTGAAGGACGCCACGGACGTGAAGCTTCGGAGCACCGGTTCTTTCTTCCAAGGAAATAAGGAAACTGCCAGATTAGGACGGGAAAGGTTGGTTCAGGATGGAGCCCCCCGAGATGAAGCTCTCTAGTGCTGTAAGTAGGCAGCCTTTCCATGGGAGGGGGGGGGAAGCAAGGGAGAAGATAGAGCAAGGCCGAGGCTGTCGCCTAGCGACCGGTAGCTTACATGGCGCCCCCGGTCTTCTGGTGGAGAAGGACTGGATAGTCTTTAGACGGATTAACAATAAATAATTAAATCGTCTGATTTTAAAAAAGATGGGAGCAGAGGTTCGCCGGGGGTAGTGTATGTATAAAGCTCCTTCATTTGCATGAAGCTTTGTTTCCTGCTTGTGCTTTTCTCATCAAATCTTCTTTGCACTTAATACTTGACGCGCCTTTTTATTTTGTAGTAATAAATCCCGGGGGAAGCGTCAGTGGAGACACCTACAAATATGTATTTTGTGATGATTTATCTCACACAGGTTTTGAGTTCTCAGTGTTCTAGATGAAATTCACTGGGTTGTCCGACTGCCTCTCTTGTGAGATTAAAATAGTCATAATGTCATGTATGCCTCTGAACATCTTGGAGGAAGGCAGGATTCAACAGTTGGAAAACAAATGCATTGCATTTAAACCCCCCCCACACACACACTTTCTACTCTGCCAAAGACCACATTCCTGCCTACATAATCCAGGGGTGTCAGGTATTGTATTTTCTCATCCTCACTAGACCTCTGGCATTTGCCTGAACATAGACATACTTAAAACTGCAGGTAGCTGAATTGTGTATGAGATTCCTTATACATGTACTGTACATATTGAAATCCATAAGCTACCGTACTTAGAAGACTGTAAAATAGGGAACAGTACCTTATCAGGGCTGTCATTGGCATTTAGGCTTTTAAGACACTTCCATGGTCATCTCAAGTAGATTTTAAGAAAACCCTGCATGCCTCCCTCCCATACTGTATGGCTCTTGTTAGCTCTTTGATCATAGTGTGACATTTTCCTAATGATGTATGATTTATCTAAGACAGTGGCTGGAATCCTGTTGCACAGTTGTACAGATGCCGTGACTTTTTGTAGACGTTATCTGTTGCATACTGAGTTGTGCAACTCAGCATGCAACAGAAAATGCCTACAGAGATTTCTTTATTTATGGCAATTTGTGTCTAAAAGTTACACCATTTTCATAACTGCAACAGGATTTTGGCCACTGACATACCATCAGGGGAAGAAATGTTTGATTCCTTGAAAAGAAACTCTAGCTGAATGATAGACTCTCTATAAGTATTACGTAACCATTAAAACAGTCTTCTGTATCCATTCTACTTAACAAATTCCAGATTTTCATGCTGAAGTGTTTTTATAATTATGGACATATCTTGTGATGGCTGAAACAGATCAGAGTATGAGAAAGGGAGCTGGCTGGATAGCTCAGTGGTTTAAGTAACTACTATGTTTCCCTGAAAATAAGACAGGGTCTTATATTAATTTTTGCTCCAAAAATGCATTAGGGCTTATTTTCAGGGGATGTTTTATTTTTTTCATGTACAACAATCTACATTTATTCAAATACAGTCATGTCATCTTCTGGTTGCTGCACAATACTGCACAATGGTGGAGGGTGGGGTTTCACTTAACTCGGGCTTATTTTTGGGTTAGGGCATATACAGTATTATGAGCATCCGTAAAAATCATACTAGGCCTTATGTTCAAGTTAGGTCTTATTTTCAGGGAAACAGGGTAGCTATGGAGCCAGAGGTTCAATTTCCCTCTGTCCAAAATTGCTTCTCATTTATTAAGCGTGGTGTAGTTAAGGATTTTGGAAGTACATTTAATGTTATATTTCTTATGATACAGGAATGTATTTGATTCTGTTTTCTCTCTATCTTTTTCCCTTCAGATCCTTGGCCATGGGGGCTATGATTCTGATTTTAGTGATGATGAAACAGGTGGGCAACCAGGCCAGTGGAAAAACAGGTAAGCCTTTGAACTAGTAGTTTCATAAAAGCTATCCTGTGTGCTCAAGTAACAGACTGTTTTTGCTTCTTTCTCTCTGCAGCTTGATAGAGTGTGCTATCTCCAAGGAGCAGTGGGTGGGGAAAACAGGGGGGAAAAGCTCGACATATTCATCTAGTGGCTGCATGCCATCTCGGATCTTACAGTTCTGTGCTTCACCTCTTTTAAGAACAACCCTGAAAGCTGGTTGGCTTCTTTGTCTCTTCTTCTGCCCTGTTTCTGCTGCCTCTCAGCAGGATTCATTAATCTATTGAACAAAAGATCAAAGCAGACAAGGCCAGGTGGTAGTAGGTTGTGAGGACAAAGACCACCTACTGAAAGGAAAAGAAATGCTGATGTTGTTTGATTATTATTTAATATTTCCCTTTCTTTATGGCAATAATCTTTTACTTACAATGTATTTGTATTTATTAAAAAATTATTTATTTAAAATATTGTTACCCACCACTCTCCTTAAAAAGGACCCAAGGTGGCTTACATGATTAAAAGCCAATATTTAAAAGCTAAAAACAGCAAGTATACAAATATTTTAAAAAGAATCAAATACCACATTTCCAGTGCTAAAGATGGCTTACATGAACAATGACGATAAAAATAAAAATTAAAAAAAATTAACCAGCAAAATCTTCAAGAATAAAACAATAAACATAAGCTGCCTGCTTGCGTCAGGAGAGCTGAATCAAAGAAGAATGGTTATAGGATATGTATTAGGCCACAGCAATGATGTTTGTGCCAAGTGTTCCAAGTACTAATAGACTGCATTTTTCTACATACTAGATTGGACCAACCCAAAGAGAATGTCTGCTTTTTGCATAAGATATCAAATGTCCTGTCTCAGCTATGTAAATAGTGCATATGTACCTTGTTTTAAAGAAAAACGTGTTTTTCCCTAACAGTGCACTTACAAATACAGAAGCAGTAGCAATGTAGACTATGTGTCTGTGTGCATATAGACATGTCTGAGGGGGGGCACACATGGCTCACCCCAGTCTAAGGAGTTTCTCGAGCATATACCTGCCTGGAAGGTGGTCTGTCTGGCCTCAAAAGCAGTTCTTTTGCTCCTAGTTTAAGTACTCCTAGTTTTTCAGTGGTGGTAAAGTGTTCTGCACATGCTCATCAATCTTACTATAATTACAGTTGTACAGGGTTCAGTCGAGGCAAGCATTAGCTTACAATAAGCCCCCATATGGAAAATGTAACACTTAAATAAAAGGTGTGACATTTCAGCAAACATTAATATGAGATTTCTGTCCGTTGTGGTCACAGGGTTACACACAGGCTTAGTCATATGAGAATAGATCTACTATCAAAGCTAAGTAGAAATACAAGCCACAAAGTTTTCCTGGGAATTTTGGAAAAATCCCAGGTATGTTACAGTAATACAGCTACCAGATTGAGCTCTTCTATGAATGCATCTGCTTGTGTTTGTTATGTTTAGCTTCTAATATTGGCTTCCTTTAATGCAGTGGTGGACAAGCTTTTATTAGACTGCAGCTTCCAGCACTCTTCATAGTTGGCTACTCTGGCTGAGACTGATGGGAGTTGCAGTGCAACAAAATCTGCAGGGTTGCATTTCCCTACTTTTGTTTTACTATATACTGTTTACATATAGATATATTTATCTCTTTCCTAACTGCTGATTACAGAGTTTATCATATCAAAATGATTGTGTCTTTCTCATAGGAAGTAGAATCTGTGATAAGAACAGTTTATTAGTCAACCAACCATACTACTGAGAAATCTAAATATTGGATTCTTGTACTATGAAGATAATGAGGAATGGAAAGATTGCTATATGCACAACTGAATTATAAGCACACAAAGTACAAAATACAGTGGTGCCTCGCATAACGATGTTAATTGGTTCCATTAAAAACATCATTATGTGAAAACATCGTTAAGCGAAACACCATTTCCCATAGGAATGCATTGAAAACCGGTTAATCCGTTCCAATAGGAGCCTATTCAATACATTTCAATGGTTAAAAAAAACCCACCAAAAATTCAAAAAGACTCAGAACGAAGCCAAATTACTTTAACGAAGGTTTTATTAGGTGCACTAACGATTCCAAGCATTTTTAACATTTTTTAAACATTTTAGAATATTTTTAAAATAGCGAAAACAGGGCTGTCAAAAAAAAATGTTAAGCGAAACAGGGGACCTAAAACTGTCATTGTTAAGTGAAGCAAGGTCCCAAACATCGTTATGCGAAAATCCCCCATAGGAAACATCGTTAGATGAGGCGGCAAAATTTCCAGCAAAGGCCATCGTTATGCAAATTCATCATTGAGCGAGGCACTCGTTAAGCGAGGCACCACTGTAAGGACAGAAGAAAGTTAATCCAATCCCCAGTTTTTAAAAAGTACATATTTGTGCCAGGTACTTTTTTTTCCAAAGTTTGGGTTGGATTAAGTACCTGTCTGTGATATCTGGCTGACAGTTATAACAATTAAGCATAACATGAATTAGGCAGAGGTTGGGAGTTGAATTCCCCATTGTGCGTCCCAGAAGAGCTAGCCTGTATGGCTTTGAACAGTCTGAGGGTACCTGCAGAAGAAGAGAGTGCTAAACTACTACTGAGTACTGACTTCCTAGAAAACCCTGGAAAGAATTGACTTGATAGCATTGTTCTACTTGGTTCGGTTATTCAAGATTATGTAGAATATATTTTCTAACCAGTCTCTGATCAGCCTAGTGAGCAAACCCCGATACAAATATAATTTGGCTCAGCAAAATATGTGAACATCATTCATTTGCTGTATTGCATGTCACTTTCTAGGGTTTCTGCTAATCTTTTCCTTTCATGGCCTGTATTATCCAGAGCTCTGGTTTCACAACTTAGTATATAGAGTACATTTTGATTCCCAGTAGGATCATTGTTCACTAACTTCCTGATCCTGATGCAAATTGTGTCCATAGGTAATCTTGTCAATTTCAGTTTATTGAAGCGATCATGTACCTGTAACAAAGGCATTGACAAACTGGTCCTGGAGAGGAGCACCAGTTAAATTCTCACTTGCTAATTCCAAAACAAAAATGGAATATAGAGTAAACAGCAATTCTGACTACGAGATCTGCTTGCGGTATCCTTTGACAGTTGTGGAACTTGGTT